CTTCGCGTGCGACCCCGCGTCCGAGATCGTCATCATCAACATGACCCGCATCGACACAGGACCCAACGCCGATGTCGCGGACGGGGAGCTCGGGAAGTACTCCATCCTGCTCGTCATCAAGGTCTCGGCGCTGCTCGACATCGCACAGCAAGACGGCCCGCCCCCGCTGTCCGTACCCTGGGCGCAGTGGGGCCCGGACAGCAGCAGGTTCCTCGAGGTGCCCGAGACGTGCCTCTGGGAGGCCCCCACGACGTTCGGCCGGCGCGCGCTCATCCCATTCTACCACGGCGGGGTCCCGACGCTCTCCGTGCTCGACTTTGACTTCGTGCCGCAAACCCCATCTTGGGGAGAGCCCCCACAGGCATTCGAAACCTCTGGGGAATGGGTCTCTGAGATGCTCGAGGCGCCAGTGACGGAGGATTGGTCGAGGTGGCTCGAGGAAGAGGATAGGTTTGTGACCTCGAACGTGCCCTGCCGGATTCGGAGCAGGCGATTCGCGGACCTCCCGGCGCGAATGGTCGGGGCATCGTTGTACGAGAACGGTCTCGTTGTGAAGGTAAGTCCTGCACAGAGATCATAGTAGTTGGTTGCACTCTCTGACACAACCCGGTCTACCTAGATCGCCGATGACGACCAGTGCGACTACATGGTTCTTCCATTGAGGACTTGAGAGCCCCCGACATTTCCCTCACACTCTGTAACCCAGCCCTGGCCAGCTTCCGAGGAGGATAACAATTACATGCATTCCTTACTGTATGCGCGTCAACGTATGTACCGATCGTGTATCAACCCCCTATGCAACATCCCTATGCCTGTCCATGTATGCGATACAAATACAACTTATGAACTATGCCAATGTTTACACGTCCGAGGGACGATCGATATGGTATGCTCGATCTGTCATGAGTCCATAACAAAACAAAAGGTCCACCCAAAACGTTCGTTAGCTGCCAGTGATAGAGGACGACGAAGACGTATCCCCGTCCACGTATCTTGGCGCAGGCACATGTGAGGCTTGTGAGGCCTCAGCCCGGGGGACCTCGCTTACGGAAGCTTCCTGCGTCTGCCGCCACCGCGCATGCATGTGCTTGACATGTAACTGATGTTGCTCAGAACGCGGGCTTGACGGGAGCGACGGCTGCGACCGTGCCCGGAGATGGTCGCGGTCGTTGTTGCCTTGGGTAACGGTGTCCGGGCTAGAAGTAACGCTGAAGGTAGACCGACGATGGAGCGGCGAGGGCTTCTGATCTTCGGCAGCCATTGTCGCCAAGGCGTCGCGGTCTGCCAGGGAGGAGAGCGCCGCCTCCGCTGACGCGACGAGGTGCTTGAGGGATCCTGTGGTACAAGTGCAGTGAGCTTGCTGCTAGCACCGCGCAGCCACACACACTCACGTTCGAGCGTCAACATGAACAATGTCTGAAAGAACGGTGCGTGAGTTGTTGTTATGAGATGAACCGTATCGATTGTATCGCGTACCTTCCGTGCGTCTTCATCCTGCAGGATATCCGCCTTGACGCGCTCGCTGATCGTCTCAAACGACCCGAGCTCGTCCAGCAGCTTCTGCATCTCCGGCGGCACCTTCAGGCTAGGATCGCCCTCGGGATCGCCTTCGATATCGTCCAGCGCGGTGAGCCCGTCGGCACGGCCGGAAACGAAGAACTGCATGTGCTCCTGGAACGTCCTCGACATCTTCACGACCTCCGTAGGCAGCGCCTCGAGCGCCCTGTGCGCCACCGCCTGCGCCTCCCTGTAGCGCTCCACAGTCGGTCTCGATGCGTTGTGCGATGACGAGGAGCCTGCGCTATTCGTGCTCTGCGCAGTCGCGGACAGCTTCGAGGCGCCGGACGAGTCCTTGCGAATGATGGGGCGCGGTCGCTGCTTGATCTCCTGCACCTGCTTCTTGCGGTACTTCTTGACAGCCTTGTCGAACACGCGCGAGTGGAGCGCACTCTTGTAGCGCGACGATCCCGCCTCTTGCAATACTAGTAGGAACACTACTTTGTCAGGAGTGTGTGCGGTAGTTTGTGATCGGAATCGGACTTGCCGGCAACGAGAATGGTTAGGGTACCTACGCCGAACAACGCCCAGACGACAAACACGGACCGACCGGCTGGGGTTTGAGGCGAGAAGTCGCCGTAGCCGGTAGTGCTGAAAGCCACAAGGCCTGGAGCGTAGTGTCAGTGAGTTTGAGAGTAGGAAAGGATCAGAGGGAGGACTAACAGAAATAGATCGCGGTGCCGTACGACCATCCTTCGGTCACACAGAAGATCCCAGACCCGATCTGCGTATAATATAAGCGCATACACCGCGAGGTTCGCTGTCACAACATACCGTCCAGAAGAGGAAGAATAGCACCCATGCAATCGTAAGCTACAGGAGAAGTAGGGTGAGGCGAGGTCTAGATCACCAGTACGAGTGCTAGTTGGGCCGCTCACTTTGACATAGTAAGCCTTCTTCTCCTCGGCCTCCATCTCCGTCTTGAACTGCTCATATGACCACACGGAGCGCGACTGCGCCCCACGCGCAAACTCTTTCAACCACTTCGCCGTAGGATGCTGCCGGATGTCAGTGAACGACTTGCCGCGACCGGGCCTCGGTCGAGATTCCTCCCCGGCCTCCTCTTGCGGCTGTTGCTGTTGATCGGAAGACGTAGAGTCGCCGCCGTCCCCGGTCGGGGTGCAAGCTCCTACGTGCGTGCCGGCGACGGCGATGGAGAACTTGGTGAGCATCGCAGACATGCGTCCTAGCTGCGCGTGCGTGGGGGTCTGCGGGTGGGACGGCCATCCGCTGGCGATCGTGTCGCGGAACGCGTTGACAGCCTGAGTTTGGGCAAGCGCGGGGACGATCCCGTCGTTGGACTGGACCCCCGCAGGAATTCCGCTGGTCTGATTTCCCTCATGTCCTCTGCCATGGTCGTCGTCACCGGGCTGGCGGTCGTGGTCTCCCACGTCGAGGAACATCTCAAGCGGGACCCCGGCCTCGAGCGCGGCCTCCTCGAGCTGTGCGGTAGTCAGCGCATCGACGTTGAGATGGTGCTTGCGGTGTCCGCCGAACACAGACTCCATCGACTTGACGGACGTCATGGTCGCCGACCGCTTGACCGTCGTCCCGACGCGCTTGTAGAACGGCATCTTCACGCCGGACACCAGCCCCAGCAGCCCGTCCTTCTTCGGCATGCGCGACGGACGGTCCTCGTCCGGTACCCATATGGGCTCCCCGGCTTCGCGTAGACGGAACTCGATGGCACGCTGCCAGCGGGCCTCCCACCGCCTGAAGCGCCGTGCCTCACGCCGCCGCTGGCGCATGTCGCGCATACGGCGGCGGTAGCCGATCTCAAGGCCTTCGAGAACCGTCTCGCGGCACATGGCGATGGTGACACCAATGCTGACGATGCCAAAGACGATGTAGAAACATGTCCACACGCGCGCGCCGGTGGATTGGGGGAGACATCGCCGAAACCGATTGTCTCGATGGAGACGACGGTGAAGTAGAGGCCGTCGACAAAGGAGAGATGAAGGAGGTAGGAGTTGACTAGAGCGCCGAGCGCGATGTAGGCTAGCAGGACGATGACGATAATCATTAGAGCGCGTTGCCTGTTGGTGAGTCCGCTACCTGAGAGTGCTGTGAGTGAGGGGCATGGCAAAGCATGGCCGAGAACTGCTACGTACCGCGCTTGGCAAAATCAGGTGTTCGAATGAGGTCTACTATCAAGCTCACGTTTGCAGTAGTGGATGCGATGGTTGAACACAGGGTCAACCAGAAAGCTTCGCCATATGTGAAGCCGTCATCGAAGCGATGCTCCACACCGAAGACAGTGACGGCGACGATATTGATGAGATCTGTAAGAGAAGTCGATGAGCGGTCGGCCTACAAAATGACTCTGGTTGACCGACCGTGTATAGTCAGAAAGACTATGCAGAGGAGAGTGACTGTCTGTACACGCTTCTCAAGGAAACGGAGCACGAGACAGACATTGGCAATCAACGCACACGCGATGGATATAGCCATCCCGACGTCTAAGACGATCGGATTCGGCCTTGTCTCGACCGTCGTGTTGCCCTCCGTCCGGATATACCAGCGCACCGTGAGGCCCGGGATCTCGAGGAGAATGGAAAAAGGAATAACAATCCCGGATAGGATGGGTGTCCAACGGTAGTTAGGGACGAAGGTATCGATGTCGGCGAGCTGGTCACCAGAGGGCCAGACGTAGGACTTGAGCCTAGAATACAAGGAAGGCCCAGGAGGACGTAGGTCGTGAGTCGAGGAATTGGCGTGCATGAGTTTGGTGGGTGCAACATGAGGACGGATGCGACGGATGGTTCGGCGTGGAGTATTTGAAGTGAGCACGTCTTGGCACGAGTGACCGTGATCGTCGTCGGAATCATCATGGTCTATTTCATCCTGGATGGGGCGCGAGTCTGACGCCTGAGGAATGGCCTTCTCTGCATCGTAGGACTTGGTATGTTTGCGAGCACGACGGCCGAGCAACAAGCTAGGTAGAGCGAGAGCGAGGAGTCCCATGCTGGAAGAGGCGTAGATTGCGGGGGTAGTGCGCTGTGTTAAGAAGACAGCCTGCTTGGTCCTCTATTTAATCTTGGGCTGCATACTACATGTACGGATCGACGAACCTCATCGAGACCTCATGGGTTGATACGGTTGGAGGAAAGAAGGACCTGGGGACTCCTGCGGACAGGAAGCGTCGGTACTCGGAACGCTGGTTCGGAAATACCTGGCGGAGACAGGGAGCGTGTGCGGCTAACAACAACGAAACATGGACCGAGATGAACGACACTCACTCGCGATATGATGACGTTGTGGTGGCGGCCTGCCCCGGTGGATCCGGAGTCGTCCTGTGCGCTTGTGTCGTCACCAAGTCTCATGGAGTCCGCCATGTGTATATACATAGTAATATACTGTACGCCAGAAGCACTACACAGTACCACAAGTTCAGATCTACGTTTTGCTTCGTGGCCTCGATGCTTGAACAAGAGGCGCAAAAATGACCACCGCAGGGATCGAACCTGCAACCTCCTGATCGCGATCCGAAATCGTAGTCAGACGCGCTTCCATTACGCCAGGCGGCCATTTTAGGTTAGTAGATAGTGCTATCATGTTCCAACGAAGCATGCTGGCAAGGCGGGGCCACGGACCGCAAGGGTGAAGTCGATTTCGTACAGGTTGGACAAAGCCCTCTACTTACACCGATCGAGCACGATGTCGCTGCAAAAGTACCAGACAGAGCTCATCGAGCACTCTCTCTCGGCCGGCGCACTCCTCTTCGGCTCATTCACGTTGAAATCAGGACGGTCCGTCCTCTCGCACCCCTAATCCTTGCAAAACCCTGCACTCACTCTCACTCGGACGCGAACCCAACCCCCAGCCTGTCCCCGTACTTCTTCAACGCCGGCCTCCTCGCCTCGGGGCCCGTGCTCGACACCCTCTGTTCCGCGTACGCCGCTACGATCGCCGGCGCGCTCCAGTCGAGCCTCCCGCCGTTCGACGTCCTCTTCGGCCCGGCGTACAAGGGCATCCCCTTGGCGGCCGGCACCGCGCTCCTCCTCCACCGCGAGCACCAGATCGGGGTCGGCTTCGCGTACGACCGCAAGGAGGCCAAGAACCACGGCGAGGGCGGCGTGCTCGTCGGCACCCCCGTCAAGGGCAAGCGCGTCGTCATCCTCGACGACGTCGCCACGGCCGGGACCGCGATCCGCGGCGCGATCGACCTCGTGCAGCGCGAGGGCGGCGAGGTCGTGGGCGCCGTGCTCCTGCTGGACAGGCAGGAGATGGGCAAGGAGGGGCGGAGCACGATTGCGGAGGTTGAAGAGCTGCTGGGGGGCAAGGGCCGCGTGCCGACGATCCTCACCATGAAGGATCTCATGCTCTGGTTGAAGGCGCAGGGGCGGACCGAAGAGCTGGAGAAGATGCAGGAGTATTGGGAGAAGTACGGCGCGAAGGAGTCTGCGTGAAGTCGTGCCGTCTGAGCACTCGGTAGGTCCGGCCAGTATGGGATCCAACGTCTCGGATGAAAAGAAGAACCCTGCGATGGGAAGACGTGCATCATGAATGTGGTTGGTGGAGCGTTGCATGCGGATATCTGCGCACGCGGCGGCTCGCGGGAGAGAATGCCGTCGAGGTGAGCAGAAACCGCTTGGCAGCAGATCCGCCCCAGGCTCAGAGCCGTTGTATCGAATGCATAGACAATGTACTTCTTGGACCTACAACGCCACCACCTTTTGGCTTGAGCATTCACTGTCACTCTCGACAGACCAAGGACTCACACTCTGTCCTGCCGTCCGATGGCAACACACCCGCATGCACGTATAACTCCGCGTTTTGAGTACGGTCCTGCGCTTGCGGTTGGAAAGCGGTCAAGGAAGGGCTTCGCAGGCGCGCCAGTCAGGTCTGGAAGCTGAGCGGTTTTCGCCTTTGGCTACATATGTGTGCGCAATAGCAGCTCTGTAGGAACATTGGATACGCTGCGCGTCTCTGGGAGGTCAGCTGTAAACAGAGCCTGGTCCTCGAGGACCTACGGTGCGGCGTTATCCAAAGAACCATCCGCTACTTCGAGTGTGAGGGATTTTCGCTTGTCACGACGTCGAAGAACGAAGTGGTATGGTTTGAGCACGCTCGCATATCCAGGATTTCAAACATAAATGCGACATTACTCCGTTGTATGACACAGCTGTAGACGACAGCACAACACTACCAATGCACTACTACGAAGGTGAGTCGAGCCTTGATACCAAAGACAATAGGGGATCGGCTCACCACTCCCGAAAGATCTGCAACCAGCATCTGACCCAGAGCTCATGACGAGCCAAGCCTCCGTCCCGTGCCCCAAGTGCGCCCACCAGCAGCACCTGCACCATCGTCTCTCACCCGCCTCGGCGGCACCACATGCACGCCGCCACCCATGTTGACCGCGCCGCCCAGCCCGCCGCGCTCGCCCATCAGGTTCTTCAGCCAGTCGGGCGCGACCCCCCACGCGCGGAGTACGCCCGTGTCGTGCACGCTCCACCACCAGAGGTGGCCGACGACGGCGCCGGAGATGCTGACGGCCGCGGCGGAGGGCCCGCCCATGAGGAAGTCCATCGCGATGAACAGGTAGGGGAGGTACTTGACGGGGAGCGTGATGAGCCCCCAGAAGGACGTCTGCGAGCCGGCGGGCGCGAGCGAGGAGGAGACGTAGGTGAGCGCGATGAGAAGCGCGCGGGTGTGCACGAACGTGCGGAGCGGGATGTTCAGTGCCTGCCGATGCCAATGCCATGCCCGGGCGCGTGGCCGGTGAGCGGCTGGACGGGGAACGGGACAGTGTGGCTGGGACGTACGAGGATGCCCGCGCAGGCCCAGAATAGCTGCCATGCGTAGTCCGATGAGCGGCCGGCGTAGTGTTTTGACTCAAGGTCATCCGAGTTTCGGCTGGACAGGAGTGCGCGTCGGTGTACGAGTAGGGAGGATGTGGATTGAATTGACATACTAGAACATTGCGACATCGAATATGAAGTTGATTCCACTCCCTAAACGATTGCGCTCGCATGTCAGAGCCCACGACGGATGTCACCCGCAGATAAGACGTACCTCCGATGAAGAAGCTCGTGAATACCCGCCAAAGCTGTAAGACTTGATGAGACCGGCTGTTCTCCCTGCGTCGTCCTGTTACTAGTACTCACTTCGTACTTTTCCGTCACCAACTGCTTCACGAATAGCAGCTTGTACGGCGACACGAGTTGCGCCATCATCGGCAGCGACACTGAGAGCAACGATCCGCATAGGAAGCGGGTGACCGGTGGGATCTTGCGTATTTCGTCCATGAACGACATGTTGTCCGTCGAGCCCAGTTAGTATGAGTACAAGTACAGCAAGAGACAGGAAGATGGTAGCACGAGTGAGAAGTGACAAGGCAAGGCTTATGAGGATGACCTCACTACTCACGGTGAACACGTAGCCTCTACCGCGGTCACGTGCTCGCGCAGGCGCGTCGCGTCGCGCGCATTCTCGAGCTTTCTCTCGTTCAGAGACGGTGACACGACTAGCACTGTAAGATGGTCTAGTCTAATCTACAACCTCGCCTTCTCTATGTCCAAAACGCACACCAAAGTGCCTTCCGAGATTACAGTGCCAACTTCGATACCTCTGCCTATCCTCTTGACTCGGCCGCTCTTCGCTGCCGTGACGACGCTCTCCATCTTCATCACACTGACTATAACCAAAGGCTCTCCCGTTTGGATGAACGCGTCAGGACTCCCGACCAACGCTGGATGGAGTTCAACGATCCTCCCCGCCAAAGGGCACGCGAGGTGCGTGGGGTCGTGCGGGTTGGCGAACTCGACTTGGGACGACGTCGGCATGGCTGAGAGCTGCGTGAGGGAGAAGGCGAGGGGAGAGGGGGAGAGGGATGTTGTGAGAGTCCCGGAGAGTTGGCTAGGGAAAGCGTTGTGACCGATCGTAGAAAGAACTAGATTGTGCGTCTGAGAGGCGTCCGAGTCTCGTGCGTCGGATACGGGCACATGGGCGGGTGATATAGACAACTGGAATGAGGACCCAGGTTGCAGGAGGAGAGTTCCAGAGGAGCTGTCTGCATCGGTGGGAAGGGTGAGAGACGATGCGCTCGCGCCTGTCTGGGGTTGCACCTTTCGGGCGGACAGAACTTCTCGGCCAGTGCGGAGCAAGTCGTCTGTGTTCGCCTCGAGCCACCTTGTGTGAACTGACCCTTCTTTCCAGTGCCGATGGGCAACAATTCCAGCAAGGAGCTCGACGTTAGTCTTCACTTCGCCGGACAGGTTGAACTCGCGCATCGCCCTCTGCGCCTTTGCTGTGGCTTCTTCGATAGTCCCAGCACGTACAATGACCTTCGCGAGTAGTGAGTCGAAGTCGACACCCACAGTGTAGTCGACGCGCGAGTCTGCGCGAGGGCCAGTAGACAGCCATGAGTCTACGCGGATGCCCTTCCCTGCAGGCCACGACAGGTCCGAAGCCTTGACGGTCCCTGGTGAGAGACGGAACGAGGCATCTGGATCCTCTGCAACCAGTCGGAGTTGGATAGCGTGCCCTTGAGATGGACGAGGCGTACGTTCATGTCGTGGGAGGACATCCTCCAGAGAGATGCCAGGCATGGAAAGCAGCAGTTGTATGCGAACGAGATCCAGGTCCATTATTTCTTCTACAATCCATCATATTAGCATAGATCGCTTAGATGGGCCAATTCACTGACCGGTCACAGTGTGTTCAACCTGTATCCTTGGATTGATCTCAAGGAATATCCATTCCTGTGCGTGAGCGTTGACAAGGAACTCGAAGGTACCCAGGCCAGCATACTTGAGATGCCGAGCCATCTTCGTCGCAGCATCTAGTAATGGCTGGACCGCACTCCGTGACAGTGTGGACGGAGCCATCTACAACGCAATTGAGAGCCCATTGCGCATAGACATCTGATGACTGACCTCTACTACCTTCTGGAACCTATGTAAGTTAGCGTTCACCTCCTGAGGAACCAAGCTACATGATAATGCACCTGCGTTGGACACTGCACTCACGCTCCCATAGGTGTGTAACCCCACCTCGTCCGTCTCCGACAATCTGCACTTCAATGTGTTTCCATCCAGCCCCCACCAGAGCCTTCTCCGCGAAGATTTGCTTCGAAGGGCTCTCCCCTAGACATCTGAACGAGAAGGCGTACATCGTTCAGGGTACACGGACCAATTACCCAACTCGGGGCTACATACCGTTTATAAGCGTCTTCTATCTCCTCTTCGGAATTGACAAGGCGGATGCCGCGTCCACCACCTCCATCAAGTGCCTTGAGAACAATAGGGAGCGCCTTGGTGCCCCGGCTTGCGACGAATTGGCGAACGTCCGACGTAGATGCGACACGGATTCCCGGGGCAACAGGTACGCCAAGTGATGACGCCAGTTCGCGCGACCGCATCTTGTCGGAGGCTATCTCAAGGATGTCTACCGAGGGTCCGACAAATGTGATGCTTTCGGACGACGTGGAAGTTGCGGGGTGCGAGAACAGCGATGCGAACTTGGGACTTTCACTCAAGAAGCCATACCCTGGATGGACGTGGGTGCACCCGGTCCTAGT